GCTCACTGGTATGAAACAATAACCAGGTGGGCATGTGTACCCATGCAGATTTGTGTATTTACATAAAAGCAAATGTTTTGAGAGTTTCAAAGTGTAGAGCACAGTTTTTAGTTTTTATGCACTGCCACATTTTAGTAAATTGGTAATAAAGCATGAAAATGTTTGAAAGATTCATTTTCATGCTTAAACATAAGATGGCTGTTCACAAACATAAAAATCCTGCTGCCCACTTTGTGTTTATTGTGCCCTACTCTGATTGATTAACACGCAGCCCTGCAATCAAGCATTTTATTCTTGATCTTTTGTTGATTTCAGGGTGCTACAATCATAAAGCAGTAAAGTCCCTGTCTTTTCTCTATTAGCTCTGAGGACTTGTTAACATGTAAATGTTTAATAATAAATATATTACAGTAATTGGAAATGAAAAGAAAAAAAGTCCACAGTCCATCGAGAGGCACTGGGCTATAAAATGGGATAACTGATGTAGTATGAAGAAACAGGGTCTTGTTGTTGTTTTTGTTCTTTTTTGTTGTTGTTTGTTTAACTTCAAACCTATTCAGCACAAATTTCCCTCTTTCCTACTTTTTCTTCTTGACCCGTGACTGCAAAGACAACCGCATTGTTCCCGTTCTAAATGTTAGATCCATGATTTCTAACAAAATCTCACCACTAGTGCATTTTAACCATCATCGCTGAAACTGGGATGTATTTCATTGGGACTGTTGATGTCCCCATGGTAACTGAATTCGCTACAATCCTACCTGCACTGTTCTCACACTGTCACAAATCTATCCAATCAGAGATGGTATGAACTTTGCACGAGGGAACTGGGAGGTTAAAGGCCAATGTTTGAACCAGCTGCACTGGACAACTGTGTTGTCACCGCCATCAGATAATGTCTAGAGAAGTTCATTGATGTGCTTTTTAAACATTTTGGGTATCTCTCAGAAAGCAGCAGTAAGACTGTGCACTGCTCTGTGTGTCTAACCTGAATCTGCCTAAGCCAGCTTTTCACTTTGGTTCATTTGTTTAATTTTCTCATGCTGCAGTCGAGCTTCTGTCAGTGCTTGGAAAGTGTCCAGATCTGATACCTTCCACTAACTATCATCTGTGGGTATACTGTTACACATTTTCTTTTCTGTCAGGCCAAATCTGAACTGGAGTTATACCAGCTCATAGAAAAATGACACCAGGCCTGCTGTAGAAATGCACAGGACTTTGCATTCAAAACACTTTAGGTTCATCCCGCAATCAGCAATCAGACCGATGAACCCTCAGTAACCCCGGCAAGCATCTTATTTTATTTTCGGTTTTTAGTTTATTTACTTGTCAAAAAGACACTAAATTATTTCACCAAAACCTCAAACTATCAGGGTGAAACTTATTACCCGATACTCCAGTGGGATTCAACTCAGGGCTTTATGCAGGCCAGTCAGGAGTGACGTATGTTTTGATTTGTTGTTGTGCTGGAAGTCAAAGCGATGCTGACTGCTT